CACAAACTCACGGAAGACGAGCTGGCGCGGCGCCAAACCCAGTCCCTTGACGGTCCGGCGTCTGCTGCGAAAACGACTGTAAAAGTCCGTAATTGGAACCCACCTGTCCTCATCCGGCTTAATGTTCTTAGCCGGTGTCTTATCAGGCGTACGCAAAGAGCTTGAGAAAATCGTGAGCAAAGGAAGTCGGGCATAACTAGAAAAAAATTTAATATGTAAATTATACTGTATATGAGATAAACGGTCGAATTCGGTGCAATCACCTCGGAAAAATCCGTTGCGACCTTGTCTGCACTGTTTCCCTGATCGCGACTTCTTGCTCGCTCTACAGCACATCGAGCTTTGTACTGACTGACTGAAACTTGTAACTGTTAAGCTGTTCAAAGGAACCATCGATTTACTGCTTTCATAACACTTACAGATACATTCTGGTAGAGGCGGAGATCCATAGCCGTTGCGCCTTCCTCATTAGTGTACCCCTCCTTCTAATAAAAAGGAGCGACGCGCCAATGAAGCAGGCACAGTGCTTGTGGATCTCCGCCCATCCAGCCATCGAGAATGAGTCTTTCATATCTCTATTTTTAATCGCCCAGTGGAGGGCAAACTCACAGAGTTTGTTCCAAGAAAAGGCAGTAGTCCTGAAGAACATTGTATTTCAAATTCCCACCTTGCTTGCCAAGCATAATGTCCGCCGATGAAGTGCTTGTCTCCACACGAAGTGACGTCATTACAGCAGGTTTAGGAGCAATAAACGACGTGATTTGTGTTTGATTGGGTGGCTGTGCGACAACTCGAGCCAGTGTCCGACGTTTCTGCAGAGGACAGGCTTCCGATCCTAGCTGTGTTAGAACACTTAAGAAGTAAGTATACCTGCTGAGCTCCTTTCTTCCCACGGAGTGCATTATATTGTTCGGCAAAACTGTCATATTCTTCAAGAACCACAGAGCTTTCAGAAAGCACTGGTTGAACAACCACTGGTGTTTGCGGAGCCTGGAAGAAAGAGAACTATCAAATATAAAACTTTTTAGACTTCAGGAGGTTTAGTGTGCGAACAGGTAGGCACAGTATTTTATATCAGTTATGTGATATCGATAGAATAGGTCCTTATTAATGGGCTCAACGACCTCAAAGACACCTTCAAGTGCTAGTCGGCTGGCGAACACTCACAACCATGGTGCCCTCCTCATAAAGGCGGTACCTCCTTTTTAGCAGAAAAAGGAACGCACTAAAGAGGAAGGCACAATGGATATGGGTCTCCACTCATGCAATCATGGCAGAATGAGCTTTTAACTACTTGTCGTCACCTGGCAAGAGTCGAGTGTCTGTCTGTCGTGTTTGTTGAGACTGCCACAGTACAGCAAAATGTCTGCCCTCAAGGTGTCCTATTCAAAAGAATTGCAGCTTGCTTACAGAGCGCTCTGGTCAAGAGAAAAACGTGGATTAAGGTCAGCAAGGGTCAGCAATCGAAACGTACGAGACACACTCGTTGTGGGCGGTCTGCGCTAGTAGGCGGGAGCCGGACTTAAAAATTCGTGAACGGTTACAGAGCTCCCGAGGCAACGGAAAAATGGGTGAAGATCACCAGGCGGTGGCACAATGAAGCAGACATCAAGTGAGCGGTTCTATCTTTCATCCTTGTTGAAATAATAATTTCACAATACCGATTCATAAAACAGATTTAACGACGTTTCTTTTACAGATTTTATTTCCCTTTCCGTAGACATACACCATTTTCCGACTCAAAAATGGAAGTAATAAAAGTGATATTCATATAAAAATGTTGAGAAAAAAAAAAGCAGAGTCCTCTTCTTGGATAACATTTAGCGGAGATCCAACGTTACTCTGAGGTGTCAGCTTGTTCTTAGAATTCCTCAAAGGGCGAACTTTCGATGGCGGATCCTGCCCTGAAAGATTGAGAGATAAGGCATGGGTTATAGTAAGTTATCGGAAATTCGCAAATTGAGACAATTCCCGCAGATCAACAAGCTATACAACAGGTGGAGGGCATTCAGTTAGGGCGTTAGTTGTGAGCCAGCAGTCTATAGGTGACTCCCCAAAATAGAGAAATCAGAAAAATCTTCAAAAACTTTTTGAATAAAACCCTATTTGACAGTCACCATGCGTTTCTTTGGACCATTCCTTACTTTCGTTCATTCGTCGTATCAATAGGCCGCTTCCTTGTATCGAGGATGGCTTCACCATAATCGCGTTCTAACAATGACACCATAATACGCCACGGCTCTCGCAGTCTCGGCGCAGTTCGGACACTATACACCAATTCCACAACTGGAGTCATACCACACTGGAAAATTGGGAATTGAAATCGGAACCGAACCTAGAAATCGGAAAATAATTCACAGGCTTGATCTTCTAAATGCGCGATTGTATAAAAAAATCATCAAAAATGCTACAGGAATGGTCACTGGGCACTCATCTCATTGTCAGCTCTCTTCAACCCTACAGATTACCCTTTCAGCGGTATCACTTCAGCAATAATGTCGATTATACGAGCTTGAAATCAACGCTACCTTATAAGCGCTGAAGTATGAGCTGAAGAGAACAAAGCACTCGCCTAGCCTCAACGATTTCACTACTCTAGACCACGAGGGCAATAACTCTGAGAACAAAAAGTAAACGCTCGAAAATTCCTTGAAACTAACCAAACAATAAATCTCAGCCACAATCGCGTCCCGAACATTCTCCTCACATAGTCCGTTCTTCATTATGTCTTCGTTTAGCACAAAATTATGGGATATTGACACCGTATACGAAGGTTCTGAAAATCTTTGGAACACAGTCACACTTACAGCAGCAAAATTGTGGACTTAAACGATTAAGTGTTTGAAGTCTTGTTCATTGCGTATGAAGGGGCACGTCAGTGAGACTGGGCGAGCCGCGGCCTGGAGCGGATAAGCGACAACAACTGGTGGAAAATGGCTGATACGATAGATATGATACAGTTCTGCCGCTTGTCGACAGAAGAAAGAAAAAAGGACTTGGCGCTGCGCCGAACCCATCCTCTCTTGGCGCTCCGTGATTCTTAGCGAACAAGACTACACAACAACTCACCAGTATTCACTTGTGCGTTTCGGGATCGTTTAGACTTCAGGGCTTCTCGATCTTCTCGTTCCTTTCTTAGCCTGAATTATACAGCAGTTTTTGGTAAACTTATAACCTCAAAAAATTGAAAGATACTTGTTCAGGGACAATCCTACGGCTGGCGCCAACTCGGTAGCATTGAGAACAACTCTTCCCACTTCAGTATCTTTACCAGCGAACAAACGAACATCGGGTCGCGGACCAGATGACCTTCGACTTCCATTTGCATCAGTATACTGAATTCAAAGCTTGGATGACATCAATTGTAGGGCGTTCCAGTAAACAAAAATTCACCAAGAATAGAGGTGATCTAAATAGCTAATGACACAGCGGCCAGACAATCCCAAAAATTTGTAAACTACATTGAAATAAACGAATTACATCGAATATATAGACTTCAAGTCCCTCAAAAACTTACCAATCTATCCAACGCAGATGACCATTTATGTCGTAGAAGTTGAAAAATTCTTGAGATACGATCGTTTGTATTGAGCCGAATTCGAAGTAATGGGTTTTGTTCACAACCGACCTGAAGGAGAGACCATGTAAGGTGAGTGATGGAAAGATGAAGCTTTCAGTGGATCAGTCTCATTTTAGCTGCGCCACGCACCCCATAACCCTTTATATGGAATATAAATAGATTTTGGTTACAAAAATTGTAACATGCGGCGTGCGGGGCGAGCCTGTAAATACCAGTCAGCGCTCTTATACCCTTGGAACAGTATGGCAAAAATTCATTGATGGAGTGTATAAGGCTTGGCTGGCTGGACCGGAGGTCCATCCCGAACCGCCCACAGATAAGTGAAGCCTTCTGCCACTGCATCATCCCGGCTACAAGTGGAGATGAAAACGCGCAAATTCATTTTCATATAGTATTTAGGTAAAATCTCGCATTTGATATTGTTATTCCGGGATACAAACGAAACAAACTGGTATAGTGGCAAGCTGCACGCTTACCACAATCTGGGGGTCGGCCTCCGCCCAGGCCAACCAAGCCACCTACCCTCCAGGGGCGATAAAGGGGACCAAAGCTTGTGCGAGGTTAAGAACATTCACTTGTACATCGGTTAGCCCCGAAAATCAGTGCACGGGCCTCATCGCATACAATCAGATACTACGATTCTGATAGGAAGTAAAATGCGTGGCACATCTCAAAAAAAGACTGATCGACGAGGACGTTTCGAGACGTTTTGAAAGCTAAAGATTATGATGGGCTAGCGAAAACAAAAAAACCTCACCACATAAGAAGCATCCGCATAAGTCATCGGCTTCAATGACACGATGATTTCGGAAGGAAACTTGTCGAGTTGATTACCTGCAAGTAAAAAGTTAGGACTGAATAAAAAGTACTGGGAAAACCAATGTACATAAGTGTGTTCAGACTCACTATAGAAAAACTTCAGCAATGATGGACAAGGCGGGGTCTTAATCTTCACAGGTACGCTTTTCTTTTTCGATTTATCCCGTATAGGTATCGTGGTGCATCTGAAGGGATAGATTGATAAATGCTTACAACCATACAAACATTTGTCTTGTTCTCTGCAGATGATGGGGCGTGTCAAGGTCGACTGGGTTAGCGCGACGCCATCCTGCTTCTTTCCTTTTTCTTTCGGGAAACTACAAAGCTGTATGATATCGCTTGTATCAGCCATTCACCATTTTATCGCTTATCAGCCCCAAGCAACGGGCGAAGAACGTTCTGGCGGCTCAGACCCTGCCTTACTCACACGCCTCAACATCCGCAGCGAACGGGACTGTATGTCTAATGCGCACTAACCCGTGGAAAATCAGTTCCTTCATGCGTTCCGGGATGTACTGATTAGTATGAGTTCGTCTCCTCCATTCACATGCATTTATAGTAATGAACAATTCTTTCGCATCACGCCCAATGTCTCCCATCGAGTCTAAAGTGATAAAGCTAGAAGTCCAGAAGACCCTCAACGGTCCAAGTAGCTATGAACACACCTTCTTCCAGAGAAATTGACTGCTTAACGTGCTTTAGTAGGTTGAAGTAGTAATTTTTCGTCTGTTCCTTATTCTTGTCAACTTTTCGCTTCGCCATTATTCGCATTACACCATCAAAATCCTTTCCACACTGCAAAGGCTCTGATTGAATGGCCTCATTTGGAGATTTCTCCATGCACGCAGTCAAACCTGCTTCAGTCCCTCGTAAAACACCATAATCTCATCATGGCTCCAAGTTTTCGATTTTCGTGGAAGACGTTCCTCCTCACTGAATGATGAACCCGTAGTTGCTTTAGATGGCTGAATGTCAAAAAGTCAATTGGGTGATAAGTGGATGATTTGATGCAACAAATGAAAGAATTCATTTTTACACTTCATAGTTCCACACACTGAATGAGGGAGAAAGGGGTGAGAAAAAAATCACTTTCAGCAAAGTGAAAATGAAAATGTATTAAAGTAATGAGGCCACGGACGATCGATATATTTTTGGTAGGGAAAACAATGTTGTCACACGCGCCACTGTTCATGAAATCGATGTCAGAAAACGTGCATTGAATCAGTCTAGAAATGATCTCCGTGTGAAAGAAAGTTGGGGGAAACTGGTGCTTGGGCATAGTTTTGATCCTGGATTTGGACAGCAAATTTTTCGATAACTATGTCGGGGTGAGAAAGCGCAGGAATTTGAAAAAAATTCAATTTTTTACGCTTGAACAGAAGGCCTTTATTTGCAAAACACTGTTTTATCTTATATTTTGACGGTTTCTTTGGCAGGGATGAAAACGTGTGACACCAACAAAAATTTCCCACTCAACAACTTCGTAGGCATAAAAGTCGTGCAAACCTCTATCTCCATAAAATGTCAGCATTATTGTGAACTTTGCAGCTTTTGCTTTATTGTGGCAGAAAGAGGAGGTTCATTGATTCTTTTTAAATTGGCCTTATGTTTCGACCAGATCGTCATCCAGGTCAGACCGCCATCGCATGAGCTCGACGACACCACTCGATGTTAGTTGTATAACAGCTACTAAGGCAGAAGTTGTGTACTCCTTTGATGTTACTAGTAACTACAAATAACAGCGGCCGATGTCGTTCCACGTTCCATGCGGTAGTGGACTGGCCTCTAGAACGACGATCTGACCGGAACGTCAGGCTAAATCCAATGAAGATCTACCTAACATACCTCTTCTTGTAAGTACTCAAAAATATCTAAAAAAGTGTACCGTCACGGAAAATTTGGAGAGACCAAAGGGTTCAAAAAAGAACTCCATAAAGATGGGTAAGAAGGCAATAGGTAGTAGGCTGCTAGGTTGTGGATCTTGCGCCCCTTATAGCCATTACATGAGATCAGGAAGGTTAGATTGACGATCATTGAACGGGAGCTTTGCTTCTCTTTCTCAGCTTCCCGGTGCACATTCGCTAGTAGTGTTATCAGGACGATTACCCGTCATACTGAGTGGACGAGGCTCAGGTGGTGGGCGAAAAGCCAGTCGACGTCTCGATATAGGCTCAGACGACTGTGATGCGGCAAGGTCTTCTGATGGTACGGCCACCTCCTCGTCGGCCGATTCAAGCCGACTTGTCATTTTGGCGTTTCTTAACAAATTCAGCCACATCAATTAGGTCCAGTTGTATATCCCTTTTAAAAATATACTCGCGCATACTGACGCCTAGCCACACATTCTTGTTCTTTCTCAACATTTTTTTAGCACCACAACACTTCCAACCAATTACCTCTAGAACATACAACAGGGGACAAGTGGTGTAATAGGACAACAACAAGTTTACTGTACCGTTAACAACACAGTTACACATTTCACAGTGAATAACTTATTAAGGAATCAAAAAGTTACACAGAGATAGGAACAAAAACCAAAACTGAACAGTCTCAGAGACAAACAATCCTTTCAATAAGTTAAGGTGCTCATCTTTCTGACCTTGTACCTGGTACGATTGAGGAAGAACAACGAAAATTGTTAGAATGGGAGATCAGAAACATTAGAACACACTAAACATCAGAGAGGTATTTCCGCTTAGGTCACTATCGGCCTCATACAGTAAACATTGACACTTCCTCTGGTTTTGACTGCCACATTCCTAGTTTCTGGTCACGAAGCCTAAACAATTACATTTTAAAGGTATAGTAAGGAAAACCATCTGAATAATATTTTTGAAGGCACAGTGTACGGTAGCAGGACAGTGGTGTTGAAATATGAGGGGGTTTAAGTAATGAAAAAACAGCGCAGAAATAAAACCAGACGTGACGCGAACAAGATGTTCTGGTTTTTGACCACAGTAGCGGCGCTCCTGCTACATCAAAACAGCATGGAATAGCTGTCATAACGGCAGTGTCAATTGACGAGCACCGCATTACAGTAAAAAATTAATGACTGCAGGACACAGAAACCGAGAAGTGGGCGGAGACCACTCGTCTAGGGCGGACAGCGCCCTACGTGGCGAGCTCCTAGCAGCCTTAATTATAATTTTTACAAGAAGTGGTTCAAACTTATAGGTTGTGGACCTGCGCGCGTTACGCTCTGGAACCACAGAACCACCGCATAGGACTGTAGGACCTCTGCCTTCGGGTAATCGTACACTGTGCCTTTAAGGCTACTCAAAAAAAACACCAAACAATTCACCATGTCTCCAGCGAGATTCTGCCTTGTTCATAAGCTTGACAATGGACCTTTATGTTTTCATAAGTGTAACCTGCTGGCACTGGTTTTCCAAGATCACTGCATACCTGAACAATTTTCATTTTTTATTTCATGTTTTAGAGGTAACATTATTTGAGAGGCAGAATGAAGGGATGTACAACACAAACAAAAAACCCACTTTCTTAAAAAGCATGGCCATATTACTTTTGGAAAGGCGAGAAACGTCATGAGGATCTTTCTCTATACGACCACTGCTTGGTCTCAGGATCTTAAAGTAAAAATTTCCATTGCATTTTATTTGAAAAGATTGCGATCAGTGGACAGCCAACGTGAGCCTTGAACTATACCTCTATGGAATCGTCTGCGATGTTCCAGTTGACTGCTATCGGGGCACCAGGTGCTGTATCACGAACATTTGTTTCAGCCTAGAAAATGGACGTTTCGAAAAGGAGAGACAACTATTCAGACGCTTAGCATTCTTACTCACCTGACAGTGTGCAATGTGAGGCTTGTTCACACGGAATGGTGCCACCGGTTTGAATCCTTCAACACGACGGAAAAGAGCGCGCTCCAAGCGAGCTATGTCAGCCTTTTCAGCGATGGATATCGTGGCAAGGTAGATCTGAAATGCTGTTTCCTCGTCAATTCCGAGTAAAATCGCAAAAACCCAGAGTCATACCGGATCAATCAGTAGCGACAGCAGTTCTCCCTGAACTCCAAGAACATTCCAGCGCATGATCTTGTCACTACAGACATAGTAGATACGTTCGCCACAGCATTCCTCAACTGTTTGGGCGCCAGTATGTCTGCGGTGCGAAGTTCGTCCCTACCTGAAATACGCCTCTGATATCAATTTCTTGCACAAATTTCGAGCTGCCGTACTGAAGGTATCCCTGCGTTAATTCGATTTTTTTCACATCGAAAAATCAGTGATTTATTCTTCCAATTTTGCTGTCAAATATATACAATTTCCATTTTGAATTCACGACTTTCCAAACAAATTCCACACCTCGGTGAACACATTAGACAGTACTGCTAGAGAAGGCCACGCCCATATGTCAGCGCGGTAATGGTTTTTCGAGAATTAAATTTAAAACGTTAGCTTCAGCCGGACTTTTCTCACTTTTGTTATTTGGTACATACGCATTGCCTGAAATGTCTGTACATCCACAGATAGTCGACTCCGCCCCCTTTCCAAAGAATGTGTTACAAAGTTTCATTTACTTTTCTCAACGTCGTTAATTTCACATCTACTTTCACACAACGGAGGTACTCGCAGACGCTTGTTCACATACGAACAGCAGAGCCTCTTTCGCGGTTTTTGGCGGATTTCGATATTTCTTCCGCTAAATTCATGGCACTGTTGTGTCCGCCAGGCACCGCACCACTAGAGAGCTCACTTAATCCGCAGTAATCCCGGGCCCACTTTCGTTAATTGGGCAGCGATTTTGGCAAGGTTAGAGCCTCAAGCTAGGCAGGTCAGTCCGCTTTCATGGTCGGATTCAAACACCAAGGTTTTAGGATTTCGCTGTTACTCAGAACAACTCGGAACGGTCTAACGTGTTAGCTAATTCGTGAATTTAGTTTGAAAAGTCGTAAATTTGGAAAGAAAATGGTATTTAGGTCTTCCATATCCGGAAATTTGTACAGAATATGATGAATGCCAGCAAATAAGTCACATGAAACGACATAGCGAGAAACGCATGACTGCGCATGTATGTCACTCGGTCTAACGTGTTGAATATTTTTTTCTGGAGAAAATAGCAACCGTGCTTTTGCAGAAGGCGACGCATTATACACCTTCAATTCTTCTTCCACAATCAGACCCATTATTGACACGTTTTATAGAAACCAGGTAAATTTTAACTGATAAAATCGAATCGACTAACAGCTTTCACAAAGGCACAACAAAACCTACCATTTTCAACTTTGAATCGAAGATGACTGTGTGAATCCACTTCGTTGTTTTGAGCACCATCCTCGTTTAAGACATACGCACGAGCGTCACCACATGGGGCGGTATTGATGAACATATGGAAAGACAGACCCTTACGAAGCGCTAACTTTCCTAAATAGTACGAACGATAACCAAAAGAAAGGTATTTAACTCAGACGAAACGAATACCTAGTTCATTGGTCTTCACAAAGATTGATTTGGTTGGGTCCTGTGTGTATAGCAGCACTTGCGCATATAGGAATCTGGAATTTAGATCATCATACAGTACTGACTGACCGCGTGTAGACTGCGCTACTCACCGCAGCAGCCCACGACGAGCAATGATTTCCGCATGGCAGTCATTTACAGAGTGTCCATGAAGACTGAGCATATCGCCTGAACAACATCATGGGTATTTATCATGACCAATTTATTTGGAACATCAAACACTGGTGATGTTAGGCGGTCCCACTGCCAAAGAAGTTTATGAAAAACTTGCTTAGAAGAAGAGTAGAATGTTTTGAGCACAATTTAGGCATCAAGGAGGTAGGATGAAGAGTTCGCCGTCGTTCAAACCGTCTTGGGGATGCGGACATGCATTCTACTTCCATTCAGAATCGTAGTGGCTTACTGAATGCGATGTGGCCTATACAATGAATTGCGGGACCCAGCCCATGAAAGTCAGTAGTTTTGTCCTCTCACCAGGGAAGTCTGCAACTTGCCATGAAACTTCTGAATGGAGACCTGGGTAGATCGATAGTCTATAAGGTTATTTACAAATATAGATAGCAAACTGCAACCTGCATTTCACAAGCAACTTATGAGCAGGTAAAGTTTGTAATGGTGCAGTAGGGTGGAGGCTTGGTGGTGAGCTGTGAAGCGAATAACCGTCGAATCGAGTCGTGGTGGTTCAGTGGTAAGGTTCGACGTTCGACGACTCGATTCGACGTATGCGATTCCTCGCTTATGCTTCACAGCTCACCACCAAGCCTCCACCCTACTGCACCCCTGCTCATAAGTTGCTTGTGAAATGCAGGTTGCAGTTTTGCTATCTATATTTGTAAATAACCTTATAGACTCTATCGATCTACCCAGGTCTCCATTCAAAGTTCCATGGTAAGTTGGCGGACTTCCCTGGTCAGACGACAGGTACAAAGTTGCCGTCCCGGAAGGTAGAAGGCTTGGTTCGTCTGGGCGGGAGCCGAAACAGGATTTGACTCCAGGACCGCGCGGGTGGTAAGCGTGCCACTTGCCATTACACCAATACCTAATTTGTGCATCATTGCTAGTTTACTACTTACTATAAGTACCACTTATTGCTTCTAGATTACTGAAGCCAAAGCTAATTGACGAAGCCGAATTTTTTCGAAATAGCTGAAACTAAAGGAATGGTTATTGGAGGTAACAATAATAGGTAAAGAAGCCAAGGTGATGCATAGTTATTCTAAGAAATGAGAGACTACATCGTGCGTCTTTCCGAGTTGCCTACGCCACGAAAACTCCCTGATAGGGAGCGCAGATGGGCTCAAGGAGCAAGAGGGACACATTTTGCAAATACTTGTATGCTTCTAAGGGAAATGTTCTAGTTTCGAAGATTTTTGTAGAATTCGGTTCGCACAAGTACAGCTCCCCCTTAAAAAATAACCCTGGCATCCAGGATGGCGAGGCGAAGATGGTTAAGTTGGTGTGGTGGCACTAGTTTACCACGGTACTTTTGTTAATACCGTACATTTTTAACGGTTAGTTTTGCACAATGAACTGTGAAGTTTTGCACTATGAAGCTGTCAAGAAGTTAACAAGACTATTGTGATTGTTTCTACTTCTCCCTACTTCTACTATGAGACGCAGTGGCAAATGACACGCTGACCACCAGCGCCGTTGGCGTTGGCGTTCATACCCCGGATCGGCTCTTGCTAGGGCCAAACAAATCTTAGGCGACAGTAACTTGGCGCTAGTTTCGTCTGAAAGATATGAATATTGACAAGTACATGGCTGGCTCCCGCAAATGGTTGTGCAGATCACATCGCATTCAAC